CTCTCTCTCTTTCTCTCTCTACCTCTACTTCTCTTTCTCTCTATCTCTGCCTCACTCTTTCTCTCTCTCTCTCTCTACCTCTACTTTTCTTTCTCTCTACCTCTACTTTTTTTCTCTCTTTCTCTCTCTCTCTCTCTACCTCTACTTCTCTTTCTCTCTATCTCTCTCTCTGTCTCTACACACATCTTTCTCTCTACCTCTACCTCACTCTCTCTCTCGCTCTCTACCTTTGTTTCTCTCTGCCTCTCTTTCTTTCTATTTCTACCTCTTTTTTCTTTCTTTCATGTATTCTCACTCTCTACATCTCTCTCTACTTCTCTCTTTCCACCTCTCTCTCTCCCTCTCCTCTCTCTCTGCCTCCCCATCTCTTTCTTTCTTTCTTTCTTTCTTTCTTTCTTTCTCTACCTTTTTCCTACTATCTCAACATCCCTCTCTCCATATCTACCCCCCTCTTCCTCCATCTCTGCTGTCTCTTTCATTCTCTCTCTCTTTCTCGCCCTCTATATACCACTGTATCTTTCCCTTTCTTCCTTTGCAGCTTTCTTGCTCTCTCTCTACATCTCTCTCCATATATACCTCTTTCATTTTTTCTACTTCTCTTTCTCTCTCACTCTCCATCTCCCCTCCCTCTCTTCCTCTTTTTCTCTCTTTCCTTTCATCTATCTTCTGTCTCCCATTCTCTCTCTTTTTCTTTCTCTGTATGTTCAGTGTATATCTTTCCCTTCTTATGCCTTTTTCTTGCTCCCTCTACATCCCTCTTTCCACGTATACATCTCTCTCTCTCTCTCTCTCTCTCTCTCTCTCTCTCTCTCTCTCTCAGAGGAAGTGTGAATTGTGCCCCTGTGTTCTTCTGACTGAGTGTGATTGTGTTGTCATAATGGACCAGGCTGCAGCAGTGATGTCACTGTCTAGTGATGTGTGAATGATGATGTCACTTTTGGAGCACAGCTGTGTGGTTATAGCTGAACGGAGGACTGAAGTCTTCCAAATGGGATTTTCGTTCAGGCTGGCGCGAGTTGAAGTGACCCGCGACTGATGGGTCAGTCTTTCATTTCACTCAGACACGTTCACTGTGTCTTTCGTTCGTCAAGACAGGGAGCTATTTTGAGAACACTCACCGAAGGGTATCGTATGTGTGAGCAGTGTGCCTTTATCACAACTTTCTGAGAATTCTTTGCTTCCTGTTCTTGATTGCTTTACACTAGAAGGCTGAACCAGAGCCGGTTTATGAGGAGCCTAGCTACTTCCTATTTCCCCCGTTATATCAAAAACAGGACTGCTAAACAGCAGAGGGCATCCGCAAGCGAGTCCTCAATGAATGGGAGTAAATGGAGCTCAACGGCTAAAAACGAACAGTTAAAATAGTTTCTAATCACTTAAACAGAACTTTCCTTTAATTTTAGACAGTAGAAGGATGTGTTTCACTAAAAAAGCACAGAAATCTCACCTGTATGTTTCCTTTTCTCTACAGTAAACAGGTTTTGGGCAGCAGGACGCAGCATTACTGTTACTAAGTGCTGATTCGTTGGCGAGCGGAGCAGCTCATTGGCTGTTTGTGCTCACTGACGTCATGAACGTACATGAGGCGCTGTTTTAAACTCTTGTACTCGAGTTTAAAAGCTCTTAAAAATACAACAGCAGCGTTAAAGTGTTTTATGCTGTTCTGTGTTCAGGAGGTGATTTTATTCTTTTACATTAAAAATGTTTAAGCATTTGTAACCTATGATTTTGCTCAAATGCTCCATACTAACCCATTCATTCTGGACTCACTCGGTAGTGCCCTCTAGTGTTTGAGAAACCCAGATAACATTACAGAGAGGTAATTCTCCTCTCTACAAGCTCTCTGGCTGAACCTCCTGGCTGCAGATCCAGAAATAGAGGGTAGGGGTGATGGAGGATGGGGGGATGCATGAGTCCAGGAAATCTCAGATTTCACCGCACACGAACTATTATGATTAAGAATTTTTTTTTTTAAATACACTGAATACACAAATCTGATTGGAGGACTATTTATTCAGTGGTCAGTGTTTACAGTAAAGACAAGAAAAATAATATTGTTATAATCGATTAGAAAATAATGAGACTTCAGATATTAAATAACTATGACGGCTGTGTGTTCTCTCACATCGCTGAACATTCACGGCACCTACATGGGGCGTGCGTAGCTGTACATACCCAGCATACCATCAGTCCTTTATCACGCTGTTGTGTCTAATGCTTCAAAGACGCAAAGCGTATATTTAACAGTTCCAGTCCCTGAACTTTGTCCACAGATCCAGAGTCAAGGACAAGAATAGAAATTCCGGTGTTTCCACCACACGGTATTCATTGATGTGGCCCTTGGGTAGTTGTTCCATATGAATATTAAATTTAGAACATTAGAGCCACTTACGAACTGATTTGCTAGATATTTGGAAGATTTTATGGACAAAACCTTATGGTTATTTGTTTAATTGACAAGTTATTTGAGGTGCACTAAAATTTGGCGACTGAACGTTTCATTACGTTTTGGGCCAAAAGAAAAAATGGCCGGTTTCACTTTATTTGGATAGTCCACTATAGATTATCTACAGATGTTCAAATTGTTAACAAACTATCTCTGTTGATTCTGAACAGTGGGTTAGGGTTAGGATTTGGACCAGGGTTAGGGCTAGGAGCAGGGTGAGGGTTGGGTTTAAGTTTGGGTTGAGGTTAAGGTTAGGGTTAGGATTAGAGCAAGTTTAGAATTAAAGACAACTATGGTAAATTTAGTAGATATTTAGTTGGATGTAACATGAAAGTAAATTAAGCATCTATGAAGTATCTAAAGTATCTGTGAAGACTATCCAAATAAAGTGCTACCAGATGGCCTAAAAAATTGACATGGAAACTGTCAAAGTCTATGGCTTTGCATGCTAATGCAAATGATCCATAGTGATTAAAACTGCTGTTTGTACATTTCGCTCTTCTGTATTGGACAAGCAGTTAATAATGTCTGTTCGTGTTGAGTATCGAGGGCAATACAACACCCAAGACTTCATTATGAGTCTGAAATCACTTGAAAGCATGACATCCCACTTTACAAGCAGAGTACAGCAAAACAACAGAAGAAGATGGGAAAGCACACCGACTCCATCTGTAGCCTCAGTATTTGGAAAACCAGCCGTTGTCGAGGACGTTGGATTTCGTGACACATACCATGTCCTACATAATAATTCTATTAAGATTTTTTCATTTAATCTGTTTTTAGTTGTCAGCTTTTTATTTTTTTTATTTTTTTTTGGTCCTAAATTTCAGTTTAGGGTTTTTGTTTTGGTACATCACCACTAATAATGTGTGTTATTTATTTATTTATTTATTTTTTTTTAATGACAAAGAATTGCAGAGAATATGGGGACCCAAGAAGCTGATATTGCATTTGTCGATAAGCAAAATGGTGTCATGTAGTTGAGGTTATATATGGAAAAATTCAAATCAAATAAAACTGACGTGTTAAATCATGCGTGCCTAAAAAGAGATTGAGAGATTCTTGTTTCTTGAATATTTAAAAAAAGATTTTCAAATAGCAAGAATGATTCAAATGCCTCTCCCTAATTTTAGCATTCCTCTTGACGGGGTTTGGTCCTGTGTGCTGGTTGTCCTGCAGTAAACTCGTGTCCTTCAGTAACCACAGAGGGCTTGGAACAGGCTGTGAGGACGTGACCCCTGAGGGGACATCCCGTGTTTCTTCAGAAATTTTTCCAGAAATAGCCCCCAGCTTGGCTGGGCTGGAGGTCTAGGGTGAAGTGACGGAACCGGAGGTCATAGCAGGTTCCTCCACAGATGGGTCCACTCTGTTTCCTCTGCACTGCTGCGGAACCCGGCCTGTGGAATAACCTGCAAAGGGTCATAAACTCACACAGCTTTGTGTCCGTATAGGAAGCACCTCACATAAGTGTATTTGCGCCTTTGTCTTCAGTTCTAATGACAGATTTGTAGAAGTGAAGGCATCTCACAGGTTCCTGTGAGGAAAAGCTGCTCTTTTTACTTAAAATACGTAAATATTTCTGAAAAAAACTAAAAGAACTGAAAGCCTGCCTTTTGTTTATTGAATTTATTTATTTTTTTATTTATATAGGGTTTTTATAATGGGTGTTGTCGCAAAGCAGTTTATCAGAAAATACAAGCCAAAGGCGACCGTGGCGAAGACAACTCTAATAGCAAGAGGAAGAAACCTTTAGAGGAAGCAAGGCTCAGGGTGGAACCCATCCTCATCTGATTCACACCAGATAGCAAAGCAATTACACAAGAAGAGCAACATAAACAAAAAATGAATATATAATAGTGATGATGGAATAATTAAAAAATGATTAACCAGTAATAACTGATGACTAATGTTAGAAGCCTAATAGAGTAACAGATCAAAACCAGTCAGTCACTAGAGTCAGTGGAAGTATATTTGTGTGTGTGTGCGTGTGTGTGTGTGTGTGTGTGTGTGTGTTAGTCTAGTATTCACTGTGAAGAAAGTGATGTGTGATTTTTCCGCATGTTGGGTTGCTTTAGGGGCTTTGAGATATCCTGTTGTGAGGTGATCATATAGCAGGGAAGGAGGTGTTAGGACAGCTTCCTGTGTGTGTGTTTGTGTGTGTGTGTGTGTGCACATGCAGGTGGGTGCATGCATGCACGTGCATGTCTTCTTTTCATCCCTCATTGAATTTTCATTGGATTGACAATATTTTTATATGATATGATACATCTTCATATGAGTGTTGTATGCAATACAAATGTCCCACTCATGGACAGTAAAGTGTATTTACTTTGATTGGTTGGGTTCAGTTGAGTTGAGTTTAGCTCAGTTGAGTTGACTTGATTTCTGTTCAGTTCAGTTTAGCCAAGTTGCATTAAATTCCATTGAGTTCCATTCAGCTCAGTTGAGATCAGCTCAGTTGAGTTCAGTTGGGGTGAATCTAATTGAGTTCAGTTCAACTGAAGTGAGTAAAACTGAATTCATCTTTTGTTTCTCTCTCTTCCCCACTCTCTAGATTTTTTAAAGAACTGGAGGACAGACACCAGCAGAATATCGTGATTGACGACATCAGCGACATTGTGATCAGACACGCCCAGTCGAATTTTGAGCCCTATGTGACGTACTGCTCTAACGAGGTGTATCAGCAGAGAACACTGCAGAGATTACTGTGAGTACAGAGCCAACTTCACACACACAAACACACATACATGTGGGTTTTTGAGTGAACTATGGAAAAACATCACAAACATTACGTCTTAAATTACACATTATCAAAGAATAAAAGCAGAGACACACACACACATACACACACACACACACACATACACACACACACACACACACACACACACACACACACACACACACACACACTCACATGCATCTGCATGCACATACCCAATTACTCATTAGAACTTTCATTTCCTTTCATGACCGATGTCTCTCTGTTAGTCATCTGCGATAGCTCACCTTTGACCTTCCAGTTCTGCAGACCTGGCTTTCTGAGCAGAGATCACCACTTTCTCCAGGTCCTTCTGTTAATCATCTACGAGTCTAAAGGACGACACTGTAGTTCAGTTAAAACAGCTTTGGCACGTACATTAAATATTATAGTTATAATTATGAATAATTATAAAAGTAATAGTTATCATACTTTTATGATAATTAGAAAGATTTATGTGCAGTGGGAGTCCAACAGTCTGAGACTGCTAGTGAAAATGCCTCTATTTAGCACTCTTTTCTGATTTAATACGAACATTTTCATTACAAATTATATTAGCAGCAGCACAATTTGAGTGAAAGTAGAATTTTTAAAATAATTATATGAATTTCAGGATTTCTTAGTCTTTCTTTAGCTTTAACGACAGCGTGCACTCGAGCCAGACACCTCAGCTTTGTTCAAAAGCTTCTGACGAGCAGATCAAAGAGTTGTCTGAACAGCTTTGAGCTTTAATGGAAGAGAAAAAATCTTTTTTTCCCCCAAAGGTGTTAATAGTTCATTAAAAATATTGAGTGTTTCTTCTTCATTTCACTTGTCTTAACTTTTCTTTGTTTTTTCAAAATGTTGAAATGCTCTCTTTATCATTTCCAGGTTTTAATAAAAAAGTCCTGAATATTCAATGTGGTCTCTTTTGGACCCCGCTGCACACTGATGCACAGCAGTAAAATTACTGTAATTATGAAATATGGTGGCTTTATTTTAATGCATAATATGAATCATGATATTTAGTTTGTTACAAGTTTGAATTGCCAAAATGCATCAGCAAAGTGCCACATTTAAAAAAGGCTGTAAAAACTGTGAGTGCAATGATTTTTTAAGCTCAGCATGAACTAAAGATAAACAGTTAGAGTGGGAACAGGAGGAAAAAATAAAATAGTTGGTCGAGGTCAATTAATACTGAGCTGACATCCGATCAGTTACTTTTGTTGTTGTTGTTTACAGGCTCTCTGTAATTGGTCGAAATCTATCTTTTAATGGTACAGTGTTCTAGACAAAGAAACAATGCCCAGATACCTATAATTTACTCAGAAAAGCATATTGTAACATAAATTATGACTATAATGATAACATATGGTCATTTTGCCCGTTCCAAATAGAGGGTGATTCAAAAAGATTCATCCGATTTTAAAATGATTTCATTTGTAAATCATTACAGAACAATGCAGTAAACTGTAAATGGTTCAAGTGAGCATAAAGTTTATTATATAACTTTACAAGTGCTCAATATGAACCTCCTCCAGCTGTACAGACAACATCAACACCACAGTCAAATTCATCCAATACTCGATTGATCATGTCGGGTGTCGCTGCACTCACAGCTCTTTCAGTGCAATTTCGGAGATCATCCAGTGTTGTTGGGAGTGGCACATGAACAGAATCCTTAACGTACCCCCACAAAAAAAAGTCACCCGGCGTGAGATCTGGTGATACTGGTGATCTTTTTCTCAGAACTGTTGGTACCAACGATGAATGCTCTGAGCTGTTGGAGGTCCACTGCCACACTGACAGTCAGAAACTCTATGACCCCCCTCTTTCAATTGGCTTGTGATTGGTTCCTAGAGGCGCCTCATGGTTGTAAAAATATGGCGCTTTGAAATCGGCTGAATCTTTTTGAATCACCCTGTTTAGTCATAGACATAGATGTATTTTCAGCATAGAATGGAACTGTATGGAAACATTGTAGTCCCAAAGCCAGTTACAGCACACATCTTAGTAGCCATCAGTAATGACATCTACATTCTCTCTCTGTTTATCTTCATCTGTGTGGCTCTATATTTACATCTTCATTTCCTCTCCCTGCCCTCCATAGAAGCAAGAGTCCATCCTTTAAGGAGGTCCTGAGCCGGATTGAAGCTAACCCTGAGTGCAGGAACCTCCCTATGTGCTCCTTTCTGATCCTGCCCATGCAGAGAGTGACACGGCTTCCTTTGCTTATGGATGTGAGTGGCTAATTCTCTACAGGCTGGGATTAATTCTCACTTCCACTGAGCCTTGTCGTGTTTTTAGTTTTGCCAGTATAATGTTTTTGATTGTTTGTCCCCAAGGAAGTACCTGAATACCTCAGCTGAGTGCAGATAGTGATCTCTGATTGCATCCTGTTGTGTAACTACAGAGTACAGTAATACACATGACCTTCCATAGTCCCAACTAGTCCCAGTGACTCACAGCCTCTGTGATAACTATTGGATTCACATCTGTTCTGAAATTGAAGGGAAGGAATGTGAATGTAATGTGAAGAATCATGAATCTGTTAAATCCTGCCTCATCATGTCTCTGTGGTTGTTTGATTAGCAGTAAGCTTGGCTGTATTTGGAACACTCCTATTTCCCAATATGGAAGAATTAATGCCAGTGTGTGTTTGTCGGTGATGCTATTGTCTGGAATTGATCTGAAATGTTCATTTGGCTTCTGTTTTTTCACTGTACCATAAAGAAAGCTTACCTCTTGAACATTCATGGCTCTTTCAGAGACGCTTGCGAAGACCGCTTTCACGGTTCCTGGCATTTGTTTAGATGATCATTAAAGACTCTTAAAATAAACTAGTCCTATATTAAAATTTTGTGGTAACAGCTAGCTAGCTAATTGTATGCTAACGCTAGGTAGCAAGTGTCAGCTAATAGCAGAATGCTAAATGGGTAGATAGCATAAAATTTCTAAGTAACATTGCAGACAGAAACAGAACTTCAAACCACATAGGGTGAGCTATGAAATGTAGATCTTAAAAGACGCTTATAGACACAGATGTGAGCTGAACAGCAGTGACTGTTTACATACACCAATCAGGCATAACATTCTGACCACCTCCTTGTTTCTACGCTCATTGTCCATTTTATCAGCTCCACTTACTGTATAGGTGCACTTTGTAGTTCTACAGCTACAGACTGTAGTCCATCTGTTTCTCTGCATACTTTGTTAGCCCCCTTTTACCCTGTTCTTCAGTGGTCAGGACCCCCATGGACCCTCACAGAGCAGGTACTATTTGGGTGGTGGATCATTCTCAGCACTGCAGTGACACTGACGTGGTGGTGGTGTGTTAGTGTGTGTTGCGCTGGTCTGAGTGGATCAGACACAACAATGCTGCTGGAGTTTTTAAACACCTCAGTGTCACTGCTGGACTGAGAATAGTCCACCAACCAAAATATCCAGCCTGTGGCAACGTCCTGTGACCACTGATGAAGGACTAGAGGATGACCAACACAAACTGTGCAGCAGCAGATGAGCTATCGTCTCTGACTTTACATCTACAAGGTGGACTGACAAGGTAGGAGTGTCTAATAGAGTGGACAGTAAGTGGACACAGTCTGTAACTGTAGAACTACAAAGTGCACCTATATAGTAAGTGGAGCTGATAAAATGGACAATGAGTGTAGAAACAAGGAGGTGGTCAGAAAGTTATGCCTAATCGGTGTATACAGCTATTTAAATTACACACTGATGAGCCAAAACATTATGACCATTATGACTGCCTTCAATGCTGCTGGTCTGCGTACCGTTGAAACATCTCCGACCCACCGAGGCATGGACTCTACAAGACCTCTGAAGGTGCCCTGTGGCATCTGGCACCAAAATGGTAGCAAGAGGTCCTTTAAGTTGTGTAAGTTGCAAGGCGGAACCACCATGGATTGGGATTGCTGTTCTATCACATCTCGCAGATGATCGGTTGTGGAATTTGGAGACCAGTTCCAGACTTTGTCATGTTCCTCAAACCACTCCTGAACAGTGTGTGTGGTGTGGCATTACCCTGCTAAATGAGGCCACTGCCATTGGTGAATGCCATTGGCATCACTGGTTTGCAGTGATTTTTAGGCAGATGGCACCTGTCAAACTGAAGTAAGTGCCGGGACCCAGGGTTTTCCAGCAGAACATTGCCCAGAACATCACACTCCCTCCACCAGTTTGTCTTCTTCCCACAGTGAATCTAGGTGCAGAGGAAAACAGCACGCATATATATAGTCTTATAGCCATATACATGTATGGATGTAAAAGACCTGCATCCATTGCTCTAAAGTCCAGTTTCAACACTCACATGCCCTTTGTAGGCACTTTCAGCGGTGGGCAGGGGTAAGCGTGGGCACTCTGACTGGTCTGCAGCTACACTGCCTAATAGGCAGCAGGGTTGTGCTGTTATGACACATCCCTCCTGTAACCACCATTAAAAAAACTCTGTGCCACAGTTGCCCTTCAGTTGGTTCAGACCATACAAGACACCTTGTACCTTATTAGCCCAACACTCGTTCACCAGTTTATGGTTTGTCCCTCCTCTGACCACTGGTAGGTGCCTCACCACTGACTGGGAGCACCCCACACGCCTGGCCGTTTCAGAGATGCTCTGACCCACTCGTCTGGCCATAACAGTTTGGCCCTTGTCAAAGTTGCTTAGGTCTTCACGCCTGCCCGTTTCTCCTACATCAGACACGTCGACTATGAGAACCTTCTGTTCACTTACTGTCTAATATATCCCAGACCTTGACGTGCGCTGTTGCGACAAAATAGCCAGTGTTATTTGCTTCATCTCTGACTGGGCATAAAGTTTTAGCTCATTGTTTTCTGTTCTGCTGGTGACATCCTATATAAATGAAAATAAGTCGTGGCCACACCGTGTTAATGTGTGGGAATGAGATCCTGATGCAAGGCCACGACGTAGTAAGGCAGTGGAACGAAATCATGCATTATTAAGCTGTGGCCAAGCTTTAATTATCTAATTTTCACGCCTTACTAAGTTGTGGCCACGCATTAGGATCTCGTTCGCATGCCTTCCTAAGTCGTGGCCACAACTTAGTTATGTCTTTCCCATGCCTTACTAAGTCATAGCCATGTGTTGTTTTTATTTATATGGGATGTTACCAGCAGGGCTCCGTAGACTACTGCGGTTTTTAATAAGATGCTCAAAAAATACACCAGTAGCATTAGCTAAGCTAGCTAACAGCATGATAGATAATGTCTGTAGTGATTATACCAGAACAACGGCTTCTTTTCTCAAGATTTTGACTGTAACATCAGAATAATGGCAATTTTTGTCCAGATTTTGACTGATTATATCAAAATAATGCCTTCTGTTCTAAAGATTTCAACAAAGTGAAAAAATAATTGCTTGTTATCTTGAAATTTTGACTGATAGATCAGAAAAAATGTCAGGTCACACTGTATTTGGATGGTCCTCTGTAGATGCTCTACAGATATTTAAATCATTAACAAACTTTCTGGTGATGTTCAGTTAATTATCAACAACATTATGGTTAGAGTTAGGGTTAGGAGTAGATGTAGGTTTTGCCTTGAGGTCAAGGTTGGGGTCAGGTTTAGGGTTAGGGATAGATTTAATAAAGTCTTTCACACTGAACTTGAAGTTTAGTTGAATTTAATGGATATTTGGTTGAATGTTACTTAAAGATATACTGAATGTTTACAAAGAATGTACAGTGGACCATCCGAATAAAGTGTTACCGAATGTCAAAATTATGTATTATTATATATTATATTATATGTGAATAAGTCTTATCTGCAACAAGACACTTTTACAAAGTCAGCAATAATAAATGCACCACTAGTCTTCATTCATTACATCATTGCACCCCATATATTATTAAACACAAGCATGTACGAATGCTAATAGTTCATTTTGGCGTCAGTAACTTTCATTCAGAATCATGCGCCCATGCCTCAGGCAGAACTTTGAGTGATGGTGGGGCAAAATGAGAGAAACCTAAGAAGGCATAATAGTTGAATTAGTCAATAAAGTGAATAATAGTTGGTAAAGAACCTGATTGTGAGTTATAACCCTGTATAAATGCCTGCAGCTCTAGTGCTGGTTCTGCTGTAATGGCCCACCCTGCAACCAGGCGTCATCCTCTCTCAAACCCACACCACTCACTCACCCTCACACACACACTGCTCTGTCTCAGCACCTCATTTCCACCTCCAGTTTGTTGTGAGGTAATTAGTAGAGTGAATAAAGCCACTGGCGTCCCGTGTGGCTCGATTGCTGTGACCTGTAGGACTTACTCTTACATAACACAACAATTTCAGTTAATTAGGTCCCCCTCTTCTCTCTGTTTTTCTTTCTCTCCTCTTCGTTAGCTACACATGACTTATTCCCTTTCTTCCGACCCTCACTGTGGTTTATTTGATCAGGAAAATCATGGGTTGTTTTCGTGTCATTTCAGTCCAAAGCTTGCATTGCACTTCATGTTAGATGTTCCTTAGACGCACGTTGCTTTAACGGTTTTGGTTCTAAGCATTAATTACTCAGACAGGAGACGTAGTCAGGTTTCCTGAATGATGTGTTTTCTTCTTTGTTTTTTTCTTTCTTTTTTTGTTCCTGATCTTTGTTCTCTCCTGTACTTGGAGAACTCTCAATATAAAGTGGCTGGTGATTGAAAAGAAGGAGTGGTGTCTGTAGTCCATTAAAGATGGCTTACAAAAGGCCAGTTCTCAGCCTGTGGCATCATATCTCATCTCTGTCTTTTTATTTCTCTCTCTGTCTTTCACTCTTTGTGTGTCCCTTGAGCTTTGTCATGATTTTTTGAGGTTGGGGAAAGGAGAATGGAGAGGCTTGACTATTAGAGCCTGAGAAAGTTTAGTTTGGATTTATTCCCTCTTTTTTTTTTTCCTTTGTCAACTGCGCTAGAGCTGGAAATATCAAGGAGGCGTGAGAGAAAGAGCTTCAGGCACGAAACAAACCATGTTAAGCTGTTTCATAACATTGAAATTAAGTTAGAATGGAAATGTGTGCTTATACACAGCATTGTACACAATGTGTTGGATCGTATTAGTGTGCTGATGTGGCGCACAGCCCTATATTTCCAACATTTAAGTGTCCAAACTTTCTACTTTAACAGATCATGTTGTTCTTCTTGTAGACTATTTGCCAGAAGACGCCCAAAGACTCTCCCCAGTATGAGGAATGCAAAAAAGCTCTTCACTGCGTCAGCAAGGTGAACCATTGCACTTGTCTTTAGCTCATCTGCTGATGGTATGTGATTTAAAGTAGTAAAGGCATTTGTGGTTTTGTTTGGGTGCAGCTGGTGCGGAAGTGTAACGAGGGAGCTCGTACAATGGAACGGACTGAGATGATGTACACCATCAACTCGCAACTGGAATTTAAGATCAAGGTAAGTGAGTCAGGACTTAAACCCGCAGATGTAATTGGCCGATACGTCATCAACCAAAACATCAGAAACCAGGGAACACGTTCACAAATCATCTCAGAGGAGAAGTGCTGATCTACTGAATGTGTAAATAATAAACACCAAATAAACAAGCATTACTCACCGTCGCCCTCTAAAGGTGTTACTAACAAACAGGTAAACAAACATTACTCACCGTCGCCCTCTAAAGTGTTACTAACAAACAGGTAAACAAACAATACTCACCGTTGCCATCTAAAGGTGTTAGTAACAAACATCAAGTAAACAAACCTTACTCACTGCTGCCCTCTAAAGGTGTTATTAACAAACATCAAGTAAACAAACCTTACACACTGCCGGCCTCTAAAGGTGTTATTAACAAACATCAAGTAAACAAACATTACTCACTGCCGCCCTCTACAGTTGTTGTTAGCAGATATCAAGTAAACAACTGGTACTAGAAAATAGGATTTGTTTTCATAAGATCCATGTATTTGCCTCAACCCAACGGATGAAACATTAAAACGTTTGATTGTGAAAGATAACAATGTTGGACAATAACAGGGCTCAGCTGAAACAGTTGCCGTCTGCTTAAATAATTGCGATCAAATGATTTTGTAATAGTAGTGACAGGCCTATCTGTCATGCAATTAGAGCTGCCATGATTGATCAGTTAGACTCGATTACTCAATAAAAAACAGTTACATTTTGCATAGGCCTCACAAATCAGCATCTATTAGTTGACAGTTTGCATGATGTTGCATATTTTCAAATTTGCCTACCTGTCGCTCTTACAGTGAAAGGCAGCCTGATCAACACACTCATTTATAAGCAGTTTTTTGCTTTAAATATTTTTAAAGGATAACTAAGGGTGTAACGATTCACAAAAATTCCATAATTTTCATTCACGCAAGTTATGCTGGAAGGATAACAAAGGAAATTTTAAGACAGACCAGAGAGACCTGAGAGCAGTGGTTGGGGAGGGCAGTGCTGGAGCTAACCAGCCAAGATGTGAAGCTGCTAGTATGGATGATAGACATACTTCACAACTTATCACAAAAAAACTAAGTAAGCTAAAAGGGCTTATAAAGACTACTCTAAAACTTTACAGTATGGGCCACTTGGTTTGAACGCTGCTTTTAGGGTTAGATATCTGAGCCGTAGCAGGTCTACTGAGCTTTATACCTCAGAGATCCTGCAAACCATTTGTAGCTGATAGATCCAGCCGAAAGAACAAAAACCTAGTGGAGATTAGAGTGGTCAGAGAGAGGCTGAAGAAAGACAGAAGAACAAAATAAGAGACGCATTGGGGAAAGTGTTGGGCAGAGAGGCTGCAGACAGAATGCAGAGCATCTAAAAGAATTTCACCAATGTACAGCTGCTTTTATACAGCCATGACAAATTGCAGATCATACAGAATGGCCAAAAATGCCTCTGTGCTTAACTTAGCTTTCTGACCAGGCTGTGGAGATGCAGGGCCAGATGGGCATGAGCTGGGGCTATATGTCCAGCATGTCCCAGAGGGCCTTTACAGAGGATTTAAAGGCTCTGAGGACCATCAGTGTATCTTGAACAGCAGCAGATGGTTCTTGAGTGCATGTGTGTGTGTGTGTGAGGTTCACGTGTGTCTAACACTTTTACACACTTGAACTAAACTTTAACACAAACACTGTACATGCTTTATAATCCTGAATGTGGGAGAGGATTATGCTTCTGAGGTGCATATGTAAGACTGGAAAACATACTTGCAAAGGAAGTGTTTTCTGTACACACATTCGCTGAGCATTTCAGCGTCCAGTACATTACGAAACATCTGGCCCTTCCCTCCTCCTCCCAGTTCTGGACCACCTGTTACAGATTTTGCTGTTGTAGGGTGATTCTGCTGGAAAAGCCTGGAGAGCCCAGGTAACTGAGTATTGTTCGACAAACACCCCACTATTCCCAACAAACACTGACCCCAACATTCCCCAGCAAACACTGACCCCAACGTTCTCCAATACTGATACCAAAATCCCCATCACTGATCTTTGCATTCCTCAACCCTGATTGCAACATTTCTCAACACTGACCCCATCATTCCCTAACCTTGACCTCAACATTCCCCAGCACCGACCCCTTTGGTCCCCAACACTGACCTCATCATTCCCCAGTGCTGATCCCAACATTCTTCAGCAAACACTCATCTGAACATTCCCAATACTAATTCCAACATTCCCAAACAAACATGGATCACAACATTCCTGACACTAATCCCAATATTCTCCAACCAATATTGTTTTCAGCATTCTCAAACTCTGATTCCAATTTTTTCCTCTTTTCTCAGCATTTCACGATGCTGTTCCCTAAGTTATCCCACATTTTTCCACAAATTCTGATCCCAGCTTCTCCAGCAAATACTGATCCCAACATTCTCCAACAAATACTGATTCCAACATTTTCCAGCAAATACTGATTCCAACATTCCTGACACAAATCCCAACACTGCCAAACACAGATCACTTTCCCAACACTGATGCCATAATTCTACAACCAACATTGTTTTCAACATTTGTAAATACTGATTCCAATATTTTTTAACATTTTTTTCCTCAACATTTCCCAATGCTGATCCCCAAAATTTTTCCCAGATTCTCTCACAAACACTCCCCCAATTCCTTAATTAATAATCATTTATTCTGTACTTCATCACAGATGCCACAATTTCCCCAAAAAAAACATTTATCACATTTTCCTATCAACTCTTCCCCCCGAGTTGACCAGCAAACACTGACCCCAGGATGCTCCAGTGCTTTAATGTTGGCTTTTGGCTTGAGGATTTTCAGAATTGATAACGCGAATATGCTTCTTTAAACATCCTGCTTGATAGATTCCTGTACTTATAACACTAAATAATAATAACTTAACATCATGTTTAAGAGCGACATTGTGAACCTCCTCATTAATATCCGAACGATCTGCCTGGACTGATCTAAGAACATCAGGAGCTTTGTGTAATTTGATTAAGCAAATCATATCAAAAACAGTAGTGGGAACTTGGCCATTGTCGCACTGATTCATTAAGTTTGGATGAACTCCAGCCACTGGTGAGATGTTAAGCCCCTGAACTCTCAGCAGAGCATCTGGGAAAAGCAGAACTTTAAGTTAAACCATGCTGTGTGGTCTGGGGCTGAGCGTATCACAGTTCTCAGGACAACAGGGCCGATCTAGGATCAGCTAAGCCCTAAGTGCACCCTTCGACCAAATCATGTTCACTATGTATTCTTTCCCACACATCCTCGCACACGCGTTACCCTCACATGCATTCCTTTACTGTAATGAGGACACAATTGTCTGCAAGTGTCTGTTTTTAATGTATTGCTGATTCCAGCCTTGCACTCTCGCACAGTCCTACAGGTGCACTATGTAATCTCACCCATATCTCATCACCACACCGGCACAAGTGTTTTTCGCGAATGTATGAGAGTGAAGTCACTGTGGGAAAGTTCTGTTGGCACATGTGTGTGTAGCAGCTGTCTTGAAGGTTGTGAATATCTAGAGAGCTTGGCCCGGTCCAGCTGTTACATCAGTAGCACTCATTACACCACTCATGCATTAAGGATACAGCCATGCACACCATCAGTTTAATTTAGTTTGACATGTTTAACTCAGAGCTGTGAACTTAATTAAAATCAATATAAGTTACTCCACTGTGTGTCTGAGCAGAGGCGATGGCTTCAGAGCGAATATTTCATTTTATGAGCAGATGTTTTCATAATATAACCTATATACAGTACTGTGAGGGCTTTCAGCATCAGGGAAAAAGGAGAGAAGCCTCAACAACCAAATATAACATTTTATAAACATTTTTTTTCAATATTTAGTGTGTCCACCCTTTACTTTTATTACAGCTTCCATTATTTTCACGAGGCTTGCTTTCAGTTTTTCAAGGAAATCTGCAGGGATATTTTTCCTCACCTTCAAAGTTCAGTCTTAGAAGTTGGTTGCTTTTTCTGCTTCTCACAATTCGTGTAGTCCCAACTGGACATTTAGACTCGCCAGTCCATAAAACCTCTGTGTCTATTGGTTTTCTAGTGCTTTTTCTTTTCTCAGTGAGGCTTCTCGACAGCTACACATCCTTTCAGACCCATAGCGCTGGGTTGTCTTCTCACAGTGCAGTTTTGGTGTCTACCAGATCTCGCGGGTGGTTGTTAGGAGTCCTGTTTTTCTCTAATTTTTTATTTGCATTATCTTATATCCAATCTGACAATTAAATAACTTGTACTCAACTGTCATTTTGACCAGAAATTAAATCAGTAGCTTCTGATTTGCACATAGTACTGTGTATATTTCACTGGCTCTTTCTCTCTGTCAGTTTCTCTTCTGCTTTTCTCTTATTTTTGTCTTTAATGAGAGTCTGATCACTGGTTTGGTCTACAGTTGTACTTTGTAACATACAGATTAAAGACCATCTTGTGATTACATTCCTACACATTACCTTGCAATAAACTAACCTCATTAAAAGTCTGTTCTTAGGATATAATAAGCCTGGGGTTTTATGAGCTGAAAACATGGTTAAAGATTAGATGTCTGAAGTTGATCAAGATACACGAAGCAGAACAAATGAAAAATATGAAAGTTGTAATTTGTTAGAGGCTCATATGCATGATATGCATAAATGTCACAATATCACGAATAAACAATTGACACACAGTATATTGTTCAGTCCGACATTATAACGTTGTGTATCAGCTGCTGCTGATTTCAGAAACTGAAATATCTCTCTTTCTGTCTCCCTCTCTCTCTGCAGCCCTTCCCGCTTGTTTCGTCCTCTCGCTGGATGGTGAAGCGGGGCGAGCTGACGGCTTATTCGGAGGAGAAGAACGGCATCTTCTCCAAGAAGATGTCACGGCATCAGGTCTACTTCTTCCTCTTCAACGACGTTCTCATCGTCACCCGCAAAAAGAGGTGAGCATACAAAGCACAGGGTGCTCTGTGTGTAAGTTTTTTTGTGAACTGAATCAGGTGAATATGATGAGTGGCATTTACATGAATTCCAGAAAGAGGCTTGACCTGCAGCAGTAAGCCCACACATGTGGTTATTTGATTCACTCAGAGAGAAGGGCTGACATTCACAGGAGAAAAATGTCAGGACTCAGAGCTCAGTCCAGGTCAGTGGTGCAATATATCATCGCTGCCATATCAAAACCTTATAACATTTCCTGATGTTTGCGCTGTTTGAAAGTGCTTCTTCTTTTAGACATTGTGTGAGTGGTTCATGATGAATAGATCAATAAAAATGGTTTGAAATGACTTGGAATAAGATATTTCCACATTAATATATATCAAAATAAGACTGTGAAAGGTACCATTTGTAAGATCTTGTCATGATGGCGACGATACGCACAATCTCTAATACCTAGTAATCAAGACTAGTGCGGGTTAGACATATGATACTGTCAACTTCAAGACCATGAACCTGGTCATCTCAAAAGAATTCAGGGATCAAATTTAGGTCAATGGCTGCAGTCTGGGCACTGCTGTTTAAGAGACCGTTAAAGACTCTTTGGGCTTTTACCTCATTGCCCTTACTGGGAAGAAGGACCTGCTGTAATCGGAAGACTAAACACAGGCCAGAGCTCGCCAGAGCTTTGGAGAAAGTCTCTGCTTATCCACTTTGTTGCTTCCAGCAGTGGCCTTGACCTCCCTGCTGTTTCCCAGCATACCCTATGTCTTGTCCCAACATGCACAGCATAAGCTATAGTGACACAATCTGCTAGGTGTGGCCATATTTGTGTTAGATTTCCTAGAAGATTTTGTCACTTTACTATTTGTTTTATAAAGTATGATTCATCAACGATTACATGAGCAGAAAGGAGTTTCTGTCTTGTGTCTGTGTTTTAAAGAGCTCATGTGCTTTCTCAACAGCTTGGGTTGTGCTAAGTGCATTTCCAGGGTATTTTCCAATGCTGCCGGAGCCGTTTTGGAATTGCATGTGTGTTTCTCTATGTGCTTCAGGGTGTTCCACAAGGGTGTATTCTGGGCACCACAGACTTTACTGGAATTCTCTCCGTAAACTGCTTGTGCACTCGAAATGCAGCAGCAGTGTATTCAGTCGCAACTTCTTTGTCTTGCATAAAGCTGGGGTTACACTACATGACTTCTACCCCGATTCTAGCCCTGATTCTCAGTCTGGCTGAGTCTGTGCTAGTTGGCTCTAGTCTGCAGATTTTTGGGTCAGTCAGAATCGACAGTTGGAGAGAGAGTCAAGTGCTGTGTGAGCATTTCAGACCAGTCTGAGTTTATCAAACATGTTTGGTTTTTCCGACCCGACCCTGAGCGTAATCTAATGTAAGATGGTCAACGACTCAATCTGAATGGACTCCTGCAACAGCCAATGAAAACTGAGCGTGCAAAAGAAGAAAATACAGTAAATAAACAAAGAAAAATGGCGAAAAGTCACTCACGTGTGGAGCGAAGCTTTTTATTGAGCTGAGTTTAAGGCGCAATCGAGTTCATGTACATTTAAAACTCTAACAAAAAAAAAAAACCCACACTGATCACATTTTTACATCCATTATCCTCATTTAAACATGTTTATCTGCTGCTTCATTACTGAGTCGCCCAAAAAAAACAGTCAGATTGTGTGAGATGCCCAGTCTTTTTATAACCTTTTAAGACTTTAAAAGTCGTGTAGTGAACCCAAGGCTTAAGTCATAACACCTGCGTCTTATCTACAAAATCACTGAGCTTGTAGTCCCCAGGTTTCCACGTTGTCTTTGCAAAGTCAAGCTTGTGTCGTATGCTTGCTGACCTCGCTGTGTCCAGGGCTGCAATATATGGAAAGAAATACAATATTGTGAATATAGTGCAGCTTACTGGAATTGCGAGATGCCTTGCTCTACACCCTTTAACCCGTATGTGACATGTTTAAAGACTGGCCTGTAGTATTTTGACCAAAATGTTTGATTTATTTTATTTATTTATTTTTTTGTATCAGGTGAATGTCTTGATTTATTCAAACGTCCAGAGAACAGAAATGTTAAGATGCTCACAGCTGCCATAGCAATTGCTTACAGGTTCATTTGCATATTGCAGCCTTCTGTGATGTCTTCTTCTACATCTTCTCCTCCTTCTTCTTATTGGAGTTATTATTCTTGTTCTTCTTCTTCTTCTTCATTGTCTTCTTCTCCTCCTCCTCCTCCTCCTACTTCTCGTTCTTTTCTTTCCCTTTTTCCTCATCTCCTGTTTATTCTTCTCCTTATTCCCTTTCTTAGCTTTTTTTCTGACTGTCGACTCTTAACAGTACTCTGTATGGTTATTGTTCATAGTTAAGGTGGTCTTATAATGCTGCGTACAGTTAGTTACTCTTCTTCTCTTTCTACTCCTCCTCCTCTTTCTTTTTCTCTCCTATTTCCTCTTCTCCTTTTTATTCTTCTCTTATTCCCTTTCTTTACTTGTTTCTTTTGCTTTTTTCTGCCTATCAGCCCTTAACAGTACTCTGCATGTTTGTCGTTTATCGTTAGTCTATAGGTGGTCTCAGTGCTGTGTACTGTTGTTTACTCTGTCGGTCAGTCATGCTATTGAGATCTCTCTTTCTCTCTTTTCCTTTACTCTGTTTTCCTCTTCTGGTTTTTGAGACTCTGCTTGCTTTGAAAGCCTTTCTGGAAGTAAGGTGCTTTTCATTTCCTCCTGAGTGCTGGAGCACATGGCTGCGCATTCTTTGGGATTCTGAAGAAAAATAGACTTTTTTTTTTTATCAGAGTGTGATGAGAGGCAGACTGCAGCAGCCCACGGTGGCGTGTGTGTGTTCTGAAGTATGATCTGATATTTGTGTGTGTGTGTGTGTGTGTGTGTGTGTGTGTGATGTAAGCTCTGGTATGTGTTGTGTATTGCAGACTGTAGTAGTCTCCATGTCACGCTAGTCTGTCTCCCACATGAGGAGAAAACAAAAATAAAACTGCTCTGCTTAACACCATACTACTCCCACCCCGACCACACTGCATGCCCTTCTGCTCTGTTCCTCTCTTCTCTTTTCCCTCCCTTTTCCTTCTCTCATTCTCTGCATCCAGAACGCTTATGTAACTCCCAGCTGGCTCTTCTCTTCTCTTCTCTTCTCTTCTTTTCTCTTCTCTTCTCTTCTCTTCTCTTCTCTTCTCCTATCCTACATTCTCCTCTTTCACTTCTCTTCTCTTCTCAATTTGTTTCATCTTGTCTCTTCTCTTTTCTCCTCTCATCTTCTGTTCTGTTCTGTTCTCTTCTCCTCTCTTCTATTCTCTTTTTGATTTGTTTCGGCTAGTCTCTTCTTTTTTCCTCTCGTCTTCTCTTCTCTTCTCTTCTCTTTTCTCCTCTCATCTTCTCTTCTCTTCTCTTCTCTTCTCTTCTCTTCTCTTCTCTTCTCTTCTCCTATCCTACATTCTCCTCTTTCACTTCTCTTCTCTTCTCAGTTTGTTTCATCTTGTCTCTTCTCTTTTCTCCTCTCATCTTCTGTTCTGTTCTGTTCTCTTCTCCTCTCTTTTATTCTCTTTTTGATTTGTTTCGGCTAGTCTCTTCTTTTTTCCTCTCGTCTTCTCTTCTCTTCTCTTCTCTTTTCTCCTCTCATCTTCTCTTCTCTTCTCTTCTCTTCTCTTCTCTTCTCTTCTCTTCTCTTCTCTCCTCTTCTCCTGCCTCTAAAGCACACAGCTTTGTTTTTCCCACAAAAATAATGCTCGGCCTTAAATTGTAAAAAACAGAAGTTTTAAGCCTCTATGATAATGTAACGTAGTCCAACTCTGTGCTTCCTCATTGTGTGGAAAGCTGGACGAAGGGCCTGTAGCTGCAGTGTGATGATGACATCATCAGAGGGGCGGAGGAGGAGGTACTCTCACTGTTATCACACGCACACACCCAACATGCTTCTCATTCCAGGTCGTCTATGTGTGTGTGTGTGTGTGTGTGTGTGTGTGTGTGTGTGTGCGTGTGTGTGTGTTTCACTGTGTTTATCCCTGGAGCTGAAACATCTCTTGGCTGTTTAGGAGGAAATCATTAGAGTTGTCGGAACATCAGATTGCAGTCTGGGTAGCTGACTCCCCTTTTTAATACAACACAAAATACCCAACCAGAATAGGGAACAACTGAAGGCAGTCATAAACCTGGCAAACTGAACAATTTTCCCCTTTTTCTTAAACATAGTTGATCAGCCAAGACATGGCTCTGTTTTGTGTCTGAATGTTTTTTTTTTCTTGTTTTGCACTGAAGCTTGTAACCACCAATTAACACTAGGGGTGAACCAGTTACTTTTCTAGCTGATACAGCCAAATTGACTGATTTTTAAATTTTTTTTCTATTTTTCTATTTTTTAAGCACCATGAACACATGAAATATGCTAGTTGTCAGTAATTCGTTCAACGCATCTACATCCTCTTGGGTAATCAGATAATTGGGAAACTCTGGGTCTGCATGAGTCAAGCAGTAATCGGATTTCTGCTTTGCAACCAGCCAATAAACTCACAGAAGAAGACGTGACGTAAACGTAATGTAAAACTCAAACTTCATGCTGCGGCTTTTTTAACAACATTGCGCGTCTTTACCTGAAAAAACATACATCATCGAGAAGATAAAGAATATTTAAATCCTTCATTTTGTCAAGCATGTAGTTGGTTTCAGCGTCGCTCAGTAAGTGTTTTGCTGCATCTCACGGCAACACTGCTTACTTATTTTCGGTAATGCAGTCTATGTGCAGACTGAGAGAAATGAAAGAAATCAGAGTAAGAGTTCACATGCACTGAGAAATCTGATTATTGAGCTAAAATCCAGTTCTCTTTGTCGGATTTCTAGACCTTACTCTGATCTAAGAAATCTTTACTAAGTTGACCATGACCATTTGAATAATCAGATAACTGCAGAAATCTTATTATGATCAAGTTATTGAGTGCATGTAAACACACTCATTAAATGAAACACCAGCCTATTAAATCAAAACATTAAATCGAAAATAAGTTGCCTGTTTAAATAAAGTGCTACATTGAAGTAAGAGGCAGCTGGCAGTTTAACACAATGAGTCATGCATAATTGTGGTATGACATTTTGGTACAGGTGTAGCAGCAGCACTCAAATACAGCGTGAGTGCACTTACATGCCTCACATTATTTACATAATAAAATTGCAACACAAAAAAAAATCAAAATAACGAGTTGGCCATTGCAATTGTCAATTCCGTTCTTGGCCAAGTCCAGTCATGCACCTTTAATGATAATTATGCAAATTGCTTTTCTTTTAAAAATAGTCTTTTGTTTCATACTGTAAACTATAATAATCGACAAACGTTTTGAGCAAATTCAGGTGTCGCCTTGGCTACTACCACTGTATTTATTTATGCATCATACTTTTGTCCTCAGTTTTATCCTACAGTGGCAAAAATCACATAAGCAAGTCTGTTTATCATTAATTACCATCTCAACATGGTTTGAGACGAGCGTGTGATGATATAGGCTTGCTAATTGGTGCATACAGGCTTCATCACATTACTATATTAGCCCTGTAGATCTAGTACAAAACCAAAGGAGCAAACATCAGACACCAAAGACGTCTTGGTTGATCGTTATTTGTGGTAAGTGGGGAAAACTGTGCACAGATGTAAGAATAGTGGCAGATTGTGTGGGTCGTGGGGGACGTGTAGTGTACTGGGGCCAATAAGTGAGTTCATGCCTAATGTGTGTCTAGGCATGTGCTAGGTAAAGTTAGTATGGTTTAGCCTTGCAGCCCAAGGGAAGTTCACATAATATGGGCGTGTTTTCCTTTTTAGATTTTTTTCTGAGTATGTCTTTCTCAGTCACACATATACACTCAGGTTGAGAAGCATGTGCATACACGTGCACTCTCTGACAGGCACAGGCACAATCACCCTGCACACACACATACACTCTCTCTAAAACTGTCATCTTAGCTTTTCACAGCTGAACTCATTTCACACCCTTTTGTTAAATATATGCTGTGTAAAATATGAGGAGTTTACTTTGTCTGCTTTCATGAATGTATAGTTGGAGTGGTGTACAAAAGTCAAATTAAATGTTTCAATGATTTTCAAGGTGAAAAGAGCTTAATAATAAGCAAACTTAAAAACCTAAATGAAGTTTAAATTTAGTGCACAATATGTTTGCAAAGTTTAATAAAATAAACAAACAAATAGAGGATCTGGAGCTGTGGCCATGCAGAGGGCCATGCGATGAGGCTCAGGTTGTGCTCTCCCCTTAAAAAGGGGTTATTTATTGTTATACTGTTGCTCTAGTTTAAGTTTATGTGATGTTTATGTATTATTGTGTCAGGGTGGGGAGGGGTCAGTTAATTGGGTTGAGTGGCTACGATAGAGGGGAAGCGTTTGACTAATGGTGATCTCCCCTGTGAGTTCTGTGTTATGTACGTTCCTTTTCTGCTGGTGTTTTAATAAACGCACAGTATTTGCAGCAGAATCATGGCCTGTACCATGTCTCCTTCTACATCAGCACCGCACTGATGTCAGAAGTGGGATTGGGTGGCTACTGTAGAGGGGAAGCCTGTGGCTAATGCTGATCTCCCCTGTGAGTTAGGTGTTATTTATATGCCTTTTCTGCCTTGTGTTAATAAAGAGCACTACTCACAGTGGACTCATGGTACACAATATAAAATATGCTACTTTTGCACAGGCTACATTTTATGTTTTTGTTTTTTTTTCAAATATGTTAAATTCAGCAAATAAATGGTAATTGTGCAATAAATGTGCACAAGAAAATCAGACAAATCAGGATGTGTTAAATTATTTTCACTTTGACAATCAGCAAAACATGTCATTTGACAAGGGTGCCCAAGCTTCTGCATACGACTATGTTGAGTGGCTTTCTGTTAGTGTTGACAAAATATGTTGACTCACTTCAGAATAGTTTTGGTGGATGGGTAGTATATAACAGGCTCCATATCCCTTGAATGCTTGAATGAATGATTGAGTGGTTATTGGTTGAATGGTTGAGTGGCTGTTACTGCCAAGATCAGAATTGGCAGAATTCGCTGTTACACCTGTACCAAAAAGTCATAGCATAATTATGCATGACTCATTGTGCTAAACTGTCAGTTCCCTCTTACTTTTGATACAGCACTTTATTTTTATTTATGCCTATTTGGCCCATTTAAGAGCAGTAATGTTATTCATATTGCATGTTCAAGTGTTTATTTTGCCCACACAGTATGAGCTTCTTGTAAAAAAAAAGGCTAACATCGATAACATTTTATTATCATCTTCTGGAAACCTCCTTTCTGGAAGTACATGTCTATGCTGTCATGTGCAGAAATATAAAGCCAAGCGAGTTGAAGGGCTTCTTTCCTAACTTCTTTCTTTCTGAAGTGTCTCTAAAATCATGGCCTGTACCTTGTCTCCTTCTACGTCAATGCCACATTGGTGTCAGAAGTGGGATTGGGTTGCTACCGTAGAGGGTAAGCCTATGGCTAATGCTGACCTCCCCCATGAGTTTGGTGTTATGTATATGTCTTTTCTGTCTGGTGTTTCATAAAGAGCACTACTCGCAGCAGATTCATGGCACACAATATCAAATTTGCATCTCATGCAGCTCTTGTTCTGCCATAAACTGCAGCATTTTTCTTGCACTAGTATGCAAACAACAGCAAAGGAATCAAATAATTAATGATTAATAAATAAATTAAATTATAATTTATTTGTCTTTGATTTCCATTGTCAATGTAAGCAGTCCTAATGAAATATGTGTGTATATTGTGTAATATATTGTGTATAAGTGTGTATATTTTGCAGGCATGCAGGCAGTTTTGTTTATGTGCACTAGCAGGTTGTGCTGTGTATGTGGATGACTCAGTGTGGTATTTTGGGTTCATTGTGTTCTTTCTGAAGTGCCATTAGGATTGTGTTTGTGATTTGTCGGTGCTGTGAACGCTCCGTGACTCTGCAGCGTTAGTCCTACTTTACCTAAACACCCCAATTGCTTCCACGTCGCATGCTCAGGAAGCGGCAGGCGGGTCACGCAAGGAACACTTAATGAGCTCCAGGTGCTCATGGGAAATGTAGGCATGATGGAATGTTAAAGTTAGTTTTCTCAGATTTACTATGTTTGGCTGGCATTTGTAGTTCACCGACATGTCAGAGTTAAAAGAATGCTGTTGTTATTCTCTCTCTTTGCATTACATTACAAGGGTTTCTTGCTATTTGAAGAGCTATTTTTCTGAGATGGTTTAAAGTAGTGAAGTGTAAAGAAAAAGGCCTATTTGTTAAATTATTTCTTAAAATGGCTTAAAATTTTCTTTTTGGAAAACAAAAGATGCATGGCTCCTGAGTATCCTGAGAGGGATGCTAGCAGGAGAGTAAAATTTGAGTGTGAATATTCAGATTCAGAAACTTTGTCTGTTGCAAGATTGAAGCCATATGTTACTAGTCACACAGGCTGTGTTGCACCCTGGAAGCTAAATGCAGACTAAACAGGAAAATATTACAGACAGAAAACACTACAGACTAGTGAACAATAGGGCAGCATAATCAATCCACTATTTATCATTATTGCAAAGTGAGTTAAAGTTATTTTAGTTCAAAGATGAATTACACCATTTTTTTTCTTCTAAATTTCTGCATTACTTTATGATTAAGTTTTAAACAAAGTCATTTAGAGTTATTTGATATGAAAGACAGAGTCGTTCTGAGTCAGAATTGTTCAAAGTGGTGGTGATAGGAACCAGATGTCAGCGTTAAATGTTATTACATGAAATGGTTATAAATATGCTGTCCGAGACATTTTTTTATGTCAGAAAAAAATTCTGAATTAGTAAGTTTTCATACAATGCACCCTTTCACACCAGACCACTCTGAATGACTTTATTTACTTAGTAGTGATTCAGTTCTGCAGAAATTTAGAAAAATTGGTGTAATTCCCCATTAATTGTATTGCAAAATAAATCAGTCATTTTTTCAGACTTAACAGCACTTAAAAAATATGCTGAAACTGTATATTCTGTCATAATTTATTGCAATTCACTTTGCTATTGGAACATGCAGCAACTTTATTGCGCATTACATACAGTTTTAAAATGGTTTAAAAGATGGAAAAAAGATGATTGTTGTTCGGTCTGTGACGACTAATACTGTAACACTCTATACTGGCCCAATAATGATGCTCTAAATATCTCCCTCTCTCTTTCTCTCTCTTTCAGTGAGGAGAGTTATACAGTGATAGATTATGCACTGAGGGATCAGATTTGGGTGGGGCCAAGCCAGCCAGAGGATCTGAACCTGTCTCCGACGCGGACCACCGCGGGCATGCTGACATCACGGCAGGGCGCAGTCAGCCACTTGTTCCGCCTCAATTTCTGCAGCAACCGCACAGGAGAAAAAGTGCCCATGATTCTGGGGGCAGAGCTACTGTAAGTACCACCTGTACTGTAACGTGTACTCATTGATAATGTATTTATTATATCTGAACTCTAAGGAAGCACATGTTCCTCACTCTCATAACTTCCATATTAGTTTCATAGTAGTTTCTGAGAAGTAAGATTAATGACTTAATCATAAGTCTACACTGGAAAAAGAGCTGAATTAAATTGACTTGATTGAAATTGTATACAGTTACCACATGGATAAATTATATTACATCAACACAGTGTTGTCTGTCAGTTCACTTATCTATTGTAATTCAACCTTTAAACTCTTTTTCTGATACATTTGATGCCTTGCATGGAACAAATCCTCCTCACAGTTGAACTCCCACACAAACACTATACACACTTATTCATGCGTTTCAGATTTTGGAAGAAACTTGAGACATTGTGTCATTCCGTTGCCGAGTAAACATTTGTAGACACACACTGGTGGGAGGCTTTAAATCACACATGCACTTTACTTTTCTGTTCTTAAGTAGGTCATTTCAGCACTCATTTGATTGTTTCAATGGAAGTATTTTTTCCTTTTGCTCTGGTGCAGTTTAAATAAAAAACCTTGGCTCTTACTCCACTATTTCAGACTGTGTAGTCTGTGTCTGGTTTCGAGGCCCGTGTTGTTGGTAGCATGCAGTTCACAATAATGATTGATCACACACTGACCATTAGTATTGGTCATCCAGTAGCTTCAGGCTCTGGACCAGTTTTTCAGTGTGCTGTTGTGGATGGTGTGACTCACAGCAACGTTTTAACAGCAGTTCAACATTTAACAGTGGAGGTGCAACGATACACTCAGCCCATGAGTTAGTTTGAGTCTCAATGCAGGGATACTGTGTAGAGTCATACTGAGTATTTTACAGTGGCTTCAGATGTGGATCAGCTTTTAGAACCAGGTCTGTTTTCTAATAAAAAACTTTATTGTCTTATTTTTCCTTTTACTGAAATAGTTCTCAAAAGAGAGTTTCTACTGAGAGTAGATTCGCTTAGCACTTCCTTACTACTTCTTTCAGCACGGGAGATGGATTATATATTAATATAGATACGTCATTGTGAAGTCTTTTGTGTGGGAGTTTGTAGGTCAGAGTCTCTGTGGAACAGTGAGAACAGCACTTCGCCAATGTTTAATCAAACTAGTTATAAATCCATTTGCAAGCATACACTTACGCACACATCTGACCAGCCTAGCCTTGCGCTCTCCTGTCCATAAGAAGCTCTGATTTCGGTAGTGCTATAATATAGTTATATAATTTGCTATACCTAAACTCCTGCTGAATGTTCTTGTAGCACTTAGTCTTATAGTCAAGTAGACTTGTCCTGTATCTTATAGTAAACTATAGTACTTGTCTGTTTACTGTAAGATTCTTATAGGAAACTTATAGAAAACTCTTTTAAATGCTATATCTAAGAAACTAGGAAAATGTTCTAATACATATGAAGTTATAATGCCTTCATAATTTATTACACTTCATAGCCATGTTCATCATCCATTGTGAGTTGTTACCATGCTTTATAAGTAGTGTTCATAACATTATATTGTCAGTGCCAAAGAAACTCCAGCTTGCATAGTGCGTTATTACAAACCTTCCTACGCATAAAGACACGCTAAACCATGCCTTGAATTCTTAATAACGTTTGAATTGCACTTTGTACTTATAGTCATTTTAATGTGTTGTCTTAAAGTGACACAGTTGTTTATTGTTTGTTATGCATATAGATGATTATTCAAGTAAAGTGATATTTTAGACTTAAAGTGCATTCAGGCCGCAGCATTTCCAGTGTTCCAAAGCAGTCTAGTAATAATACTAATCTGAAAATTGAAGAAAGAAAGTGTGAAGAGGGTCAAAACAAGTCAGGTTGTCTTTGAACATTAGAACAAAGTGTTGTTCTTCAGGCCCCATTGTGCAACACACAGCAGCAGCGCATTACACAGGACTATATAAAGTGCAGACGCATGGCTCGTTTTAAAAGTCATGTATTTTATAAATCATACTGTGTAAATGAGTGCAGAATATACAATAAATGAAGGGTTTTGTTGCAGAACGCATGCTAGATTTTTTTTTTTTTTATATATATAGTGGTTCCTGGGAGTGAGCTTTACACATAGAAGAAATATCAGTGCTATAGTGTGATTAATACTACTTTTGATTTCCACTAACACCAGCTGTTATTCTTTTTTTATACATCCAAAATTGTCACAAACAGGGTGTTTCAGAATGAAACCTTTCAAATACAGTGCACGATAAATATAGAGTGAAGAGAGGGGTGGGAGGTGGTGGCCTTGCGGACGCAGGGTTTGTATAGGAGGTGTTGATGGAAAGGAAAGGTATCGTGACAAAAGTGCAAAAAGTTTAGATATCATGGTGCAGCTCAGCGTGTCTTGATTACTTTAGCAGTTTCTTTGGAACTGATTGTTCGTTTTATGAACAGTGCTAATAAAGCATCATGTTAGGAATTCATAATGCATAATAAACACAGCAAATGCAGTGCACGTTTCGTACATTTTTATAGCCATTTTTATAAAGTCTTACGCATGTATTATTATGCATCATGACTGATTTCATAGTTTCTTATACACAGGCATTAGAAATTGTTACTGGAAGTATGACTGTACCTCATTGTTTTTGGAACAAAACCTTCATAACCTAAAAAACATCATAACCTATAATGGAAGTTAATGTAATAAGATTTTATAAGTAATTTTGGACCAATTCTATTAGTTTGTTCATCATGAAGTTTTGACAAAACGCAAAGCGTAAGGGGACAAATTATGAAGGAAAAAAAAGACGAGATGATTTTTTTGCTTTTGAGTGGATGTGTTGGTCACCTGAGCTCACACCTTTTCAGTCTGATAGGCATCAGTGGGTTTGGCATCAGGTTCCTCACACACTTGGAAATCCAGTTCAGTAACTAAGTCTTTTTTTTACTTCAAGTTTCTGGGCAAGAGTGCCAAGTATTGTTGCTATGTTTTGAAGCAGTGCACAGTTTCTATTATGAATAGCCTTAAAGCCAGTTTAAATACAGTTTCCCTCCCTCCGCTCAGCCAAGACATGTTCATTTTCTGAGGTTTGCTAGTTTTGCAGTGGAGCTACTTGCCTCAATGTTGACTTATTAAGTGATATCAAATGGGCTTGTTTGATACATGTGATACTGTATGGCATAGTGTTGAAATAAAGCACATGGTGCAGCTAAAAACAGTGGTGGCACCTTGAAGAATGGGTTTTGTCCGTTCTTTTTCCCGTAGTAGTATCAGCAAGCCTGTCTAAAATTACAGCATGCTTCTGTCCATTACTTTAAAATGGATTCTGATGCAACTCTGCATGAGCTGTGATTGTGGATTTATTCTCTCACAAAGTGCTTACTGAAGTGGTGTTTATCCAGTGCTGTCACGGTCAAATACAGCGGCTACAGTTACACATGAGAGAGAGAGTGTGAGAGTGAGAGAGAGACGTAGGCAGGAGGATTGCGGGAACATGACTAATTCACAATAGGCTGCTGCCTAGTAACCACCGAAACAATGCGCTGCGTTTCACACAGTCTGATAAGAACAGCAAAAAAAAAGGAGAGAAAACGTTAGTGACATCATTACTGGGGGCTACCCATGCTCTGAAACCCAGGGGCTTTCCAAAAAGATCACAAACTCTTTGCACAAAGAGATGCACATATACAGTACTGTGCAGAAGTTTTAGGCAGCTGAGAAAATGAGATTTATAAAGCCATTAATCTGGCCAGGAGGTTTATATCTGCTCAGATAACACGAATAGAATAAATACAATATTTTATTTTATTAATAACATTAATAAAATAAGTAGTGATTTAACCGTTTCCAGACCACTCCTTGAAGAAACCCAGTATTATTTGCATCTATCATCCAATACCTCATTTGAGTAATCAATATTTCATTATCTTTGTACATTTACAGCATTTGGCAGACACTCTTATCCTTATAGTTTGATCATTTTACACAGGTAGGTGAAGGCGGTGTTGGGAGTCTTGCCCAAGGACTCTCACTGGTATAGTGCAGGGGATTGAACCACAGTCTACAGTGTAGAAGGCAGAGGTGTTACCCACCACACTATACCAACCACACTATACCAAATTTATACTTGAAGGGATTTACAACGTCAGCTAAAAAAAAATCGTATTACTTTTTACTGTCTTTATGTTTATTTGCATTTAATCTACTGAAACAAGCACAAACACACTTAATAACAATGTAAGTAGTTTTAAAGTGCTTGGCTCTCTAAGACTTTTGCAGTGCAGACACACACTTAGACACAGATGCGCTTACACACACACGCTCACTCGCAGTTACATACGCCCACACACATTCTCACACAGTGTCAGATCCTCTGGTTTTGCGGGGGGTCATATGGTGGGAAATTAGGGGCAATTACTGAGGCTTCCTCCATTAACACCCTTCTGTGAGGAGCATCTCAGCAAAGCCTCCAACACTCAGCTCACCACAGAGTAATAAACTGCACACACAGCGTGAAACAGAGAGAGAGGGAGGAAAAGAAAGGAGTAAAATCAAAGCAGCTCCGGCGGAGGACAGGGTTCACTCTGAGGGGGCAGGATGAAGGGATTTCACACCAGCTTTTATCCAGCAATGACACACCTGAAAGCAGAAATGGCACTATAGTACTGTCTTTTCCAGTACTAACACTGAACCCTTAACCATTGGCTGAGACTGATAGTACTAAGCTGTAAAACGAGCTATTTTTTGTCTGAAAGTAGGCTGTGATCCTGAATTAGTGAATTACTCTGCTACTCCACATCTAACAATGTGCTGTTTCAGGATAGATTTGTTACAGGATTTGAATCAGAGTCATTCTTTTTCCCCCTTTTATTACTGATTCAGCAGTTTCTGCTGATATTAGGGATGTAAACTCCGGCTAATTTAAGTATTTGAGTGTCCACAAGAGTTCATGAATGGATATCTGGTTAACCAAATGGAAAAATGGGGAAAAAATGGAGCCAAAAATATTGTA